CTCGGGGTCGAGGCGATCAGGTAACCTCACCCCGTCCTCCTTACATCCCTTCATGTGATTTCATCACATTGAAGCGATTCCGATTAGCCCGTTCTCGCAGGAAAGCGTTCAATATCGCCCCGCAGTTGAGATCGGCTTCGTCGACCCAGGTCGGCTCATCATATCCCGCCCAATGGACCAGGAATTCGCGATAGATCCGACCAAATCGCGTCTTCTTCCCACTCCGCACATCAGAAATCTGCTCGACCGCATACTCATCAGCCCCGAAATCCGGGACCCAACTGTCCTCCAGAAGCAGGATCTCGTCACAAAATCGAGACGATCCACCTCATCCACCGTGAGTTCCACCCGTGGTCGATCTGGAAAGTCCTTGACCAATTTCAACTTCGACATGTGTACCACTGGAAAGATCTGGTACCTTGTACCTGCGATCTCGAGCTTGACGCTGAATTCGTTGATCTTTTCGGCGACCCGGAACGGCCCGTGCCAAAGGTGAGCCAATTTCCGCGCGTATCCTTCCTTCACCCGATCTAGATATAGCCATATGCGAGATCCGGCATCGATCTGGTGCGATCCGACACCCTCGTTGTGTCGGTCGGCCCGATCTGCAATGACTTCCTTCAATCTAGCGTTGACTTGTTCTCGGGATTGCTGATAGTATCGTGTTGGACTCGATATCGCCACCGCCGCGCATCTCGATCGCGCCGTCTCGTACATCCGACCGGCAGTGTAGCCTCCAATGTCGATCTCAGATCCCACCCATGTACCAAATAGTGAGGGGTATCTCCTCGCATCCGATCGTGAGCCGTGTTGAACGCGAAGGTGAGGCGCTCAGCATATTCGTCCCAATCCTTCTGATCAACGTCGCGGACGTACTGAGCGCTCTGGTCGTGGTCTGCACCATTCTCTCAGCAGTCCCGTTAGCCTATGGACGATATGCCATCGTCGCCCGCTGCCGTTGTCCCAAGATCTTGTTAAACGCACGGAAGAAATCGGACATGAAACCGGGTTCTCGATCATGTCGGATCATCTCACTGTCACCAAATCGCCGAAATACACACTCCTTGTACGATTCCGCAACCGTCTGGGCCGACCGGGACGAGCTGGCCTTCGCGATCACATATCCTGTGAACAGATCGACCCAGATCAATAATTCAGTGTTCCCCTTGTGAGATCTGGGTAGCGACGGTATCAACGATTTCACATTTTTCGGGCTTGCCTCCAAACCTCCGATCGACACTCGGTGTCCCAGAT